AAGTATTAAAAACCATTTGTCTCCATTCACTCCTATCAAACACGCTCATGCATGCCTGCTGGAAGTCCAAGCCCCTCGCACACAAAACCTCCTTTACCCCCTCCCTCCAACCTTTCCTAGGCTGACCCCTACCCCGCTTTCCTTCCACTACAGACTGATACACTCTTGAAGTCATTCTGTTTTGCTCCATTCTCTCTACATGTCCAAACCACCTCAACAACCCTTCCTCAGCCCTCTGGACAAGTTTTGGCAATCCTGCACCACCTCTTATATTCCAAACTATGAATTCTCTGCATTATATTCACACCACACATTGCCCTCAGACATGACATCTCCACTGAATCCAGCCTTCTCCTCGCTGCAACATTCATCACCCATGCTTCACACCCATATAAGAGCGTTGGTAAAACTATACTCTCATACATTCCCCTCTTTGCCTCCAAGGACAAAGTTCTTTGTCTCCACTTGCTTTAGTGATGAATATAGGGAATACAGTTTTGCTAATTTTACTGTAAAAAACCTTAAGACACCTATAACATTTGGTGCCATTTACCAGATACCTCACACAAACATCAGTGAGAAATTAATATCACTAATAACAAACAGACAAATGAATAAGCACCACCTTCTCTTAGCTAGAGACTTCAACATCAACCTTGGCCTACTAGATGATCAGCCTGTAACTAATTTCATCAACAATATGAACAACATACTTCTCATACCAACAATAACTAAACCAACCAGGCTCACTGAGACAAGTGCAACCATAATAGACCACATATGGACCAATATACTAGCCCCCCTTAAATCAGGGATAATCACAGATAGCACCACAGACCACTACCCTACCTTCCTCCTGACAAACATTAGTAAACCACCACTTGAATACAACAAAGTCTCATTTAGACTCCATGACGAGGCCTCAATAAGGAAGTTCACAGCTGACCTAGAGACTGTTGACTGACCTACAGAATTCTCCAAGGCCAATGGTATTGATGACTAGACAGACATTTTTCTTAACAAATTACTTAGACTATACAACAAACATTGTCCTATAAAAACGAAACAGATCACAAACAAACGGCTTGGTTGCCCATGGCTAACCAGCACCATTCTGAAATCCATTGACAAGAAACACCAATATGAAAAGCAATATAGACAGGGCTTAATACACAAAGATATTCTTAAACACTATTCATAAGTTCTCACCAAAGTAATAAAGAATGCCAAACAACTATACTACTCCAGTAGATTCACAGACACTAGAGGAGATATAAAAAAGACCTGGAAAACACTCTCTCAGATTCTAGGGACCCACAAACTGAAAAAAAAACAAGAATATTGTCCTAACTAAACCTAATGAAACACCACTACATCCCACTGACACAGCTAACAAGATAAACGACTTCTTCTCAACCATAGGATCTAATCTCGACAATAAAATCCCACTTACCAATGCCCATGCCGGGGACTACCTAGATGGGAATTTCCCAAATTCCTTCTATCTTGCACCAACTGAGCCCACGGAAGTCACCGAGATTATAAAGTCACTTAAAAATAACTCAGGGAATCTGTCTCATGTCCCACCATTACTGTACAAGCGAGCGGCCCATGTCCTTTCGCATGCTATTTCATTAATTTTTAACAAGTCACTAGAAACTAGCACCTTCCCAAAACTACTCAAGATGGCAAGGGTTACACCAATACATAAAGGTGGTGACCCTACAGACTTAAACAACTATAGGCCAATATCAAACTTACCATTGCTATCCAAAATCTTTGAGAAACTCATGCACAGGAGACTATATTCATTTATAACGGCACAAAACATACTCAACTCCTGCCAATTTGGATTCAGGAAAAATAAAAGCACTAATGATGCAATCATAAAAATGCTAGATCTGCTTTACACAGCATTGGAAAATAAGGAATATCCACTAGGAATTTTTATTGACCTAAGAAAAGCTTTTGACACAGTAGACCACGACATCCTACTCCACAAACTTGACCATTACGGTATAAGAGGCCATGCGCTTGCTTATTTCAAATCTTGCCTTACTAATAGGTATCAGTATGTCACCATTAAAGACACAGCATCAACAACATGGCCACTTGATACTGGAGTTCCGCAGGGAAGTGTCCTTGGTCCCCTGCTCTTCCTCATACATCAATGATCTTCCAAACGTATCCCAACACCTGAAACCCATTCTCTTTGCTGACGACACGACTTATGTCATCTCTCACCCTAATCTTGCCACCCTCAACACCATTGTTAACGAGGAGCTGATCAAAATATCGACTTGGATGACAGCCAATAAACTTAGGCTTAACACTGACAAAACCTGCTATATTATGTTTGGTAGCAGAGCAGGAGATGCACAAATTAACATTAAGATCGACAACACTCTAATTACCAGACATAATGAAGGCAAATTCCTAGGCCTATACCTTGACAACAACCTGAATTTCAGCACCCATATCCAACACATAACCAAAAAAGTATCCAAAACGGTTGGGATCCTCTCCAAGATACGATACTACGTGCCGCAAAATGCCCTTCTCACACTATACCACTCACTTATTTATCCATACCTCACTTATGCTATTTGTGCTTGGGGATCAACTGCAGCAACACACCTAAAGCCCAAAAATAACCCAACAAAAAGCTGCAGTAAGAATAATCACTAAATCCCATCCCTGGCAACACACCCCCCCACTCTTCATAGATCTAAACTTACTCCCTGCTCAGTAAATCCACACTTACTACTGTGCAATCTACATCTACAGGACCTTAAACTCCAATATCAACCTTGACCTAAAACACTTTCTTGATAGTTGTGACAGAACCCACAGGCATAACACCAGACACAAACACCTCTACGACATTCCCCGTGTCCGACTAAACCTTTACAAAAATTAAATGTATGTCAAAGGCCCTAAAATCTGGAACACCCTACCTGAGAACTCTAGAACTGCAGAAACATTCATCACCTTCAAAACTACCATTAGAAAACATCTTATCTTCCTGATACACCCCATCAACTAACTACACGAATACCACCTGGTGGTTCACACTTACACTCACTCACCCATTTGGCCATAAACAGAAATATTAATCTCAATCTTAAAATAATGAATCCTGTGATACTCCAATACTGAAACTATGTACTGTGCCAAAACAAAAGCATTCACATTGCTAAACTCACAAACTAGTACAGTGGACCCCCGCTTAACGATCACCTCCAAATGCGACCAATTATGTAAGTGTATTTATGTAAGTGCGTTTGTACGTGTATGTTTGGGGATCTGAAATGGACTAATCTACTTCACAATATTCCTTATGGGAAAAAATTCGGTCAGTACTGGCACCTGAACATACTACTGGAATGAAAAAAGTTCGTTAACCGGGGGTCCACTGTATTTAGTCACTTAGCCATAATACCAATTTACCTCATAATTTGTAATATTTTAAAATTAAGAATTAAACTAAGTTTGCCTGAAATGCCTAGCCATGCTAGGTGTTCTAGTGGTACACTCTGTAATCATTATTTTACTACATGTAAACCACACAATTACCAAATTCTGTAAACTCAGCATTGTAATCCTTATAGAGAATACACTTTGAATTAAGTGCACCGCTCACCCTTTTCCCCTCATCAATTCTATGATTCACCTCATCTTTCATAGACCCATCTGCTGACACTGTCCACTCCCAAATATCTGAATACATTCACCTCTTCCATACTCTCTCCCTCCATTCTGATATCCAGTCTTTCATCACCTAATCTTTTTGTTATCCTCATAACCTTACTCTTTCCTGTATTCACTTTTAATTTTCTTCTTTTACATACCCTACCAAATTCTTCCACCAACCTCTGCAACTTCTCTTCAGAATCTCCCAAGAGCACAGTGTCATCAGCAAAGAGCAACTGTGACAACTCCCACTTTGTGTGATTCTTTATCTTTTAACTCCACGCCTCTTGCCAAGACCCTCGCATTTACTTCCCTTACAACCCCATCTATAAATATATTAAACAACCACGGTGACATCACACATCCGTGACTGAGGAGTGCCCTCACCAGAAGTAGAAGGTTGAGGATCGTCAGGGTTTTCTGCACTATTATCGATATCCTGGTCATTCCTTTCGGTCACTAACTGATCAAAGCCAAAGAATTCATCTTCATTTCCACTTCCATCAGTGTCAGAGCTATCAGATAGGAAGAGGAGAGCCCCAATTTTCCTTGGAGTGAGAGCTGCCTTGTGACGAGGCATGGTGAACAAAGGTAACTGAGCCGGCGTTCCCACAATGCTATGCGGGCACCTAGATTTTTTGTTTATGATGCACACCCACCACGCAGACCCGTTCTCTCACATGTAGGCCTAGGAGCGTTTTCGCGCTAAATTTGATGGCTCTAGAATTTTGGCGTAGATCTACAGTTTGGACACACAACGTGAAGCCGTAGATCTACAGGACGGACCCTGAAAGGGTTAAGACCCTGAAAGGGCTATATTTTGAGGTAAATAATGAGTGTACTGTGTGTGTATTTTACTTTTTAATGCTTAGTTCTATTGCTTACTTAATATATGTTAGTGTAAACTTGTTGTCTGGCATTTATATGAATTTATAAGTGGAAAAAATGGAATTCTGCTTTCTGGCGATGTCTGCTTTCTGGCAGTAGCCTGGAACCTAACCTGCCATATAAGTGGGGCCCTACTGTATGCTCAATGTTTTACCTGTGCCAGGGATTGAATGAATAATGGTGAATGTGTTTCCTTCCTTTGGTCACCCTATTTAGTGGGAAATGGCTGGCGCCAAAAAAAAAAAATCTTACAAGACATTGAAGAATGAATCATGAATAATAAATATATTGGTTAATTGAAATAAAATAGAATACAATTTGTTCTATATTATTTTGTTCATTGTAAAGCACTGAACCAAAAGGAGTCATACAGCAAAAAAAATGTATGCAAGTAATTCACCTTTCCTTCTTTTTCTTAGGGCAGACACCACTGCATAAGGCAGCTTGGACAGGAGCCACTGAGTGTGTGAGGGCACTTCTGGAAGCTGGTGCTAATATAAATGCTAAGACCCACAACCTTTACACCCCACTCCACAAGGCTGCCCGAAAGAACCAAGTTGATGTTATTTCTATTCTCATCGAAGGTGGATGCAAGCGGGAAGCACAAACTGCTGCTGGCTGGACTGCCCTTCATGTGGCTGGTCTAGGGGGATGTGTGGAGGCAGCACAAATGCTCCTCATCCACCACCTTGACCCCAGGGCCAGGGATAACAAGGGACGCACTCCAGCTATGGTGGCAGATATTTGGGGTCGGAGTGACACACATTGGTTCTTCAGCAAGCTGCCAGATGCTATTGATACCCGTCTAATGCCTGCTACTGGTGATTGCAGGGTAGGAGAGCAATGATTTGACCTGATAATCAACTATAGTTGTAATGTGCTCCCTATAATAATGTAGGCAAAGATAAAAAATTTCATGGGGTATAAAACTGATTGAGGGACTGGGCCACAATGTCCTGTTGGCTAAAGAAGTTAAAGCATAAATATTATTTTACAAGTAATTACATGAATAATAATAATAATAATTGAACAATTTTAAGGTTAACCCCCTTCATTAAGGGCAGTATCATGATGTTGGTGGGACGTTCTTGTTCTAAGGAACAAGACTTTTCCTTCCCTTCCTTAGATTGAACTTAAATGCCTCCCATTCCTAAAGTGCTATATTACTCCTACAGGTTTAATGCTTTCCCTGATTAAAGTAAGGAAATCACAGGGTTAACACCTAATAACCCTAGACATATGCCAGAATAACTCTGGATAATCAAAGAAGGCCAAGCAGTGTATCTTATTTCTACTGGGGTACTTAGGTCCTCCCTCAAGATGCACCACAGTTGCCAACTCATAGTTATTTACTGATAAGTGAACATGGCTATCAGGTGTTCAGGTGTTAGGGGATTTACCCATACATCTCGTTCTGCCTCAGATTAAATTCATGTCTTTTCAGTCTTGGCTAGAGTAATTGACTTGAAGCACCATATATAATTTCTAGATAATTCTTGAATTGTGATATAGATTTCATATAAAATTTTTGTACTTTCTATGATACTGTATGTTCTGTTCATTAGTACAGTACATGTTATAATTTTTGCCAGCCTTTTGGATATACAGAAATTCTAAGTAACTTACACTGTTCATCAGTATTAATTTACAAAGCTTTAATAGAACTTACTTTTTATTGTGGGGCTGTTTTTTTTTTCTTTTTGGCATTCTTATTGCTGTAATTTTATTTGACACATGGGTCACTTTTCACTGAAGGTGACCCACAAAAACGAAACATCCACCACATGTACAGTAGCTTGATCACTAGTGCACTCAGCTCACACTGAGGTCCAGGTGGAAACATTAGGACATGTATCTTTAAGACACTTGCTGTCCATGTTTACCTATCAATAAAATGAGTAATTGGGTGTTAGTTGACTGGTATGGGTCGCATTCTGAGACAAAACTGATCAAATTTGCCCAAAATGCTCTGCATAACAAGGGGCTCTCTGTATAGTAGTATGTCATTAAGGATTAAGAATTTTATTTCTTTGCATAGTTTACAATGTGTAATTACAATTTTGATTTGCGAAATACAAAGAAAGCCACTATTATCCCAGGGCATATCGGGCAGACTAAGCCTAATGCTTAACAGACTATTTAATACTAAGCATATATATCATAGTTCGAATTGATCATCGTTTTTTATATGTTTTATATTTTGATGTCAACTAGGCCTGTATACCTTGTACATGTACAGTGGAACCTCGGGTTACGAATTTAATCCGTTCCGTGGACTTGTTCGTATCCTGATTTGTTCGTATGCTGGGTCAATTTTCCTCATATAAATTAATTGAAATGCAATTAATTCGTTCCAGCTGAATTCCTGCTCTCAGGAAGCATAACAAAATAACTCTAATATCAACTGTACGGCTTATTTATCTGTCACAATTCATTTAATGACATAATAAACAATATAAATAACATAGAAACCTGATATACACTCTAGAATGAATAAAATATGTCATTACATGGACGGCGGAGGGAGGAGGATTGTGGTCGGGAGTGGTCGTGCATTCTCCCTATGAAAATGTCAGAAGTGTTATTATAAGAGAAAACGGAGTTTGTGAGGCTAACTGGTGTACATACGACATTTACACACCTTGGAGAAGAAATGCAGTGCAGCATATCCTGTCAGGAGTTCACACTTTTCTTAAGAACTGCTATGTACAATTTTCATGTTTATCTCGCTACACTATGTATCTCCTGTGAGTTGTTTCTCCGTCAACCATGTCAACAGCAGCTTTATCATCTTTTAATTGACAGAAGTCCACTGCTTAGAAATTACTGTAATGCCCTTTACTGGCACTATAGCCTTTATAGACTCCTGCTTAATATTGTACATAGAGTAGATTATTATTATTATTATAATCGCGGGGAAGTGCTAAACCCATAGGTACATACAGTAGAAGGGCTACACTTGTACTCATCTCGCCAAGTCTTCAACCCTCGTATCTAGTCTGTGCTTATTAATCATTTCTTGCTTTAATTCCATGAAAATCATCCTCCTTTTCTTCTTGGCACTGTCCTTTGCAGTTGCTTCCTTAGGATCCATGGTTAAAAGAAAGAAATCTGGCGAATTAACTGCACGAAACGTAAGGAAACCACAAGAATTCCTTGCACCGCGAGGGTAGCTCCGTAAGCACATGTGCACTGGTGACCATTGTGGTGGTGTTGTCTAACTAAATTATACGCAGTATAGGTAGTAGGTTGGTAGACAGCAACCACCCAGGAAGGTACTACCGTCCTGACAAGTGAGTGTAAAAAGAAACCCTGTAATTGTTTTACATGATGGTAGGATTGCTGGTGTATTTTGTCTGTCATAAATATGCAAGATTACAGGTACGTCTTGCTACTTCTACTTACACTTAGGTCACACTAAACATACATGTACACGTTTATTTATATACACTCATCTGAGTTTTCTTTGATTTTATCTTAGTTCTTGTTCTTATTACTTTTCCTTTTATATCCAAGGGTAAGTGGAATAAGAATCTTTCCTCCGTAAGCCATGCATGTTGTAAAAGCCAACTAAAATGCCGGGAACAGTGGGCTAGTAACCCCTTTTCCTGTAATAATTACTAAAAAGAATAAGAAGAAGAAAATTGTCAAAGTGGGAAGGCTGAATGTGCATGGATGCTGTGTGAATGATAAGAAAGAGATGATTGTGGATGTTATGAATGAGAAGAACCTGGATGTCCTGGCTTTAAGTGAAAGCTGAAGGGGGTGGGTGAGTTTCTGTGGAGAGGAATAAATGGGATAAGGTCAGGAGTTTCAAATAGAGTTAGAGCTGAAGAAGGAGTAGCAATAATGTTGAAGGATAAGCTATAGAAGGAAAAGAGGGACTATAAATGTATTAATTTGAAGATTATGTGGAGTAAAATAAAGGTTGGATGTGAGAAGTGGGTTATAGTAAGTATATGCACCTGGGGAAGAGAGAAGTATAGAGGAGAAAGAGAGAGATTTGAGGAAATGTTGAGTGAATGCATGGGGAGTTTTGAACCAAGTGTGAGAGTACTTGTGGTTGGGGATTTTAATGCTGAATTGGGTAAAAATGTTGTGGAGGGAGTAGTAGGTAAATTTGGAGTGCCAGGGGTAATTGAAAATGGGGAGCCTTTAATTGAGCTATGTGTAGAAAGAGGTTTGGTAATAAGTAATACATATTTTATGAAAGAGAGGATAAATAAATATACAAGGTATGGTATAGCATGTAATGAAAGTAGTTTGTTAGATTATGTATTGGTGGATAAAAGGTTGATGGGTAGGCTCCAGGATGTACACGTTTATAGAGGGGCAACTGATATATCGGATCATTAACTAGTTGTAGCTACAGTTAGAATAAGAGGTAGATGGGATAAGAGGAAAATGGCAACAAGTAAGAGGGAGGTGAAAGTGTATAAACTAAGGGAGGAGGAAGTTTGGGTGAAATATAAGCAACTATTGGCAGAAAGGTGGGCTGGTGCAAGTATGAGTAGTGGGAGGGTTGAAGATGGTTGGAATAGTTTTAAAAATGCAGTATTAGAATGTAGGGCAGAAGTTTGTGGTTATAGGAGGGTGGGTGCAGGAGGAAAGGGGAGTGATTGGTGGAATGACGAAGTAAAAGGTGTGATAAAAGAGAAAAAGGTAGCTTATGAGAGGTATTTACAAAGCAGAAGTGTTATAAGAAGAGTAGAGTGTATAGAGAGTAAAAGAAAGTTGAAGAGAGTTTTGAGAGAGTGCAAAAGGAGAGCAGATGATAGAGTGGGAGAGGCACAGTCAAGAAATTTTAATGAAAATAAGAAAAAATTTTGGAGCGAGTTAAGCAAGTTAAGAAAGCCTAGGGAACGAATGGATTTGTCAGTTAAAAACAGAGTAGGGGAGTTAGTACATGGGGAGATGGAGGTATTGGGTAGATCGCGAGAATATTTTGAGGAACTTTTAAATGTCGACGAAGAAAGGGAAGCGGCAATTTCATGCACTGGCCAGGGAGGTATACCATCTTTTAGGAGTGAAAAAGAGCAGGATGTGAGTGTAGGGGAGGTGCGTGAGGCATTACGTAGAATGAAAGGGGGTAAAGCAGCTGGAACTGACGGGATCATGACAGAAATGTTAAAAGCAGGGGAAGACATAGTGTTGGAGTGGTTGTTATTTTTGTTTAATAAATGTATGAAAGAGGGGAACGTACCTAGGGATTGTCGGAGAGCATGTATGTCCCTTTATATAAAGGGAAGGGGGACAAAAGAGATTGTAAAAATTATAGAGGAATAAGTTTACTGAGTATACCAGGAAGGTTATTATTGAAAGAATTAGAGGTAAGGTAGAATGTAGAATTGCGGATGAGCAAGGAGGTTTTAGAGTGGGTAGGGGATGTGTAGATCAAGTGTTTACATTGAAGCATATATGTGAACAGTGTTTAGATAAAGGTAGGGAAGTTTTTATTGCATTTATGGATTTAGAAAAGGCATATGATAGAGTGGATAGGGGAGCAATGTGGCAGATGTTGCAAGTGTATGGAACAGGTGGTAAGTTATTAAATGCTGTAAAGTTTTTATGAGGATAGTGAGGCTCAGGTTAGGGTGTGTAGAAGAGAGGGAGACTACTTCCTGGTAAAAGTAAGTCTTAGGCAGGGATGAGTAATGTCACCATGGTTGTTTAACCTTTTCAGGGTCGCCAAAATTTCAAAAAGAAAAAAAAGTATTTTTTCTTATGAAAAGATAGAGAATCTTTTCCCGATCATAATGACACCAAAAGTATGAAATTTGTTGGAAAACTTATGGAATCATGCTCTCGCGAAGTTAGCGGTCTCGACGATGTTTATGCATCAGCGATTTTGCCCACTTTGAGCCCTATTTTTAGCCAATTCCAGTGTACTAGTCGACAAAAATCATAACTATTTCGCTAGAACTCCATTTTTCCAATCGTTTGAGTACAAGAAACCTCCCATTTACTGATTTCAAGTGGTCAGAATTTAGCAATTTTGCCAATTTTACACAAATTTCAAAAGATGCCAATTTCCAAATAGGGTCCAGAATACATAAGAAAGACATTCCTGGCACTAAAATAACATTTTCTCTGTTCATTAGTCACATCCCCAGGCCCCTCTTACATTTCTTTTGCTTTCCACTTTGAATTTTTATTCTCACAAAAAAATAAGATTTACATGTTAGCAGAAACTCCCATTAGTTACAAATGGTATAAATACATTCTGCGCACTTGTGAAAGAAATTTTTAGACTCCAGTTGACGTGTATTGGAAGCTTAGCATATTTGTTTACTTTTGAACTTTGGTAAAAATCGAACATTTCTGCTACTTTGAGCTCATTTCAATGTACTTTTATTTCTCAAAAAAAGTCTCAATGTTCTCAATTACTGTATATGTCTTCTTCTATACAATTAAAATTGAGACCAGGATAACTAGAATACAACAATAATACTTTACAAAAATAATAGTGCAAAGTCGCTATTTTAATCCAAAAACACTAGATTTGAGGCCACTGTAATTATGGTATTAGTACGTCATGGACCTGGTGCGTAAGCCGTACTAGTAATGGCCAAAACCCTGAAAGGGTTAATCTATTTATAGATGGGTTGTAAAAGAAGTTAATGCTATGTCGTTGGAGAGGGGTGGGAGGTAAATTACGGGAATTAAATATAAAGGGGGTAGTGAACGTATTGATGTACTGTGCTTATGGGGATTTTAAAGAAAAATTGCAAGTTGGATGAATTTGGGGTGTATGTGTAGAATTGAAAGGAATAGAAAAAGAAAATGGTTATTTTGGATTGAATTTGGGAGGTAGGAGTGTGTTAAAGGTAGCAGAAGTTTGAAGGTGAGAGTTTAAGAAAGAGGTAAGGTGATGTGGTATAAATGAGTATAGTAGAAAAAATGGATATCAATTGGGGAAGAAAAGGAGTATGGAAGTATAGTGAAACTTTTAGATATGTGGTGGTTGATGTGCAGCAGGTGGTTGAGTGGAGGGAGGTAAATTTGATTGATAAGGAAAATGTGTAGTGGTGCAATATATATGTAGGAAAATTTCTAGGAGGGTCAAAAAGGGAATGTTGAAAGTAAAGTATACTCAAATCTTGAGAGGGTGTGGAGGCTTGGTTGTCAATGTAGAAGGAGGTGGTGGAGGCGGTGGAGATGTCGCAGTTTAAGGAATGTGTAGTGTAAAGCAAAAACGATGTGAATTAGGCAAGACAGTGTGGAGTGAATAAAAGTATTTCGTAAATGGGCCCCTCTGGAGGGTCGGGAGGTGTTTGGTCAAATAAGAGAAAAAATAGATCAAAGTAGAATGACATGGAGAGCATATATATCTGTAGGGGTAGGAAGGCGGGGTAGAGGTCGTCCTTGAAATGGTTGGAGGGAGGGGGTAAAGGAGGTTTTGTGGGTGAGGGATTTGGACTTCCAGCAAGTGTGCGTGAGCGTGTTAGATAGGAGTGAATGGAGACATGGTATTTGGGACCTGACGAGCTGTTAGAGTGTGAGCAGGGTAATATTTAGTGAAGGGATTCAGGGAAACCGGTTATTTTATATAACCGGACCTGAGTTCTGGAAATGGGATGTGCAATGCTTGCACTTTAAAGGATGGGTTTGGGATATTGGCAGTTTGGAGGGATATACGTATTGTGTATTTTTACACGTATATGCTTCTAAACTGTTGTATTCTGAGCACCTCTGCAAAAACAGTGATAATGTGCGAGTGTGGTGAAAGTGTTGAATGATGATGAAAGTATTTTCTTTTTGGGGATTTTCTTTCTTTTTTGGGTCACCCTGCCTCGGTGGGAGATGGCCGACTTGTTGAGAAAAAAAAAAAAAATTATTATTATATAGTATTACATTGTTATATTATACATAAATATTATTATGTATTATCATTATTATTAGTACGTGGAGACAAAGAACTTTGTCCTTGGAGGCAAAGAGGGGAATGTATGAAAGTATAGTTTTACCAACGCTCTTATATGGGTGTGAAGCATGGGTGATGAATGTTGCAGTGAGGAGAAGGCTAGAGGCAGTGGAGATGTCATGTCTGAGGGCAATGTGTGGCGTGAATATAATGCAGAGAATTCGTAGTTTGGAAGTTAGGAGGAGGTGCGGGATTACCAAAACTGTTGTCCAGAGCGCTGAGGAACGGTTGTTGAGGTGGTTCAGACATGTAGAGAGAATGGAGCGAAACAGAATGACTTCAAGAGTGTATCGGTCTGTAGTGGAAGGAAGGTGGGGTAGGGGTCGGCCTAGGAAAGGTTGGAGGGAGGGGGTAAAGGAGGTTTTGTGTGCGAGGGGCTTGGACTTCCAGCAGGCATGCATGAGCGTGTTTGATAGGAGTGAATGGAGACAAATGGTTTTTAATACTTGACGTGCTGTTGGAGTGTGAGCAAAGTAACATTTATGAAGGGATTCAGGGAAACCGGCAGGCCGGACTTGAGTCCTGGAGATGGGAAGTACAGTGCCTGCACTCTGAAGGAGGGGTGTTAATGTTGCAGTTTAAAAACTGTAGTGTAAAGCACCCTTCTGGCAAGACAGTGATGGAGTGAATGATGGTGGAAGTTTTTCTTTTTCGGGCCACCCTGCCTTGGTGGGAATCGGCCAGTGTGTTAATAAATAATAAATATAATAATAATAATAATAATAATTATTATTATTATTGGTATTATTATTAATTTAGGGACCTGCAGCACAGATCCAATTCCCTAGATCAAGAACCCCTGACCGCATTACTACTACTACTGCTGCTGCTGGTGCTGGTGCTGCTGCTGCTGGTGCTGCTCCTGGTGCTGCTGCTGGTGCTGCTGGTGCTGCTGCTGCTGCTGCTGCTGCTGCTGCTGCTGCTGCTGCTGCTGCTGCTGCTGCTGTTACTGCTGCTGCTGCTGCTGCTGGTGCTGCTGCTGTTGGTGGTGCTGCTGGAGCTGCTGTTGGTGCTGCTGGAGCTGCTGCTGCTGCTGCCGCCACCACCGCTGCCGCTACTGCTGCTGCCTTTCTTTCTTTCTTTCAACGCACCAGCCATATTCCACTGAGGCGGGGTGGCCCAAAAGGAAAAACAAAAGTTTCGCCTTTTAAATTTAATAATATATACAAGAGAAGGGGTTACTAGCTTCTTGCCCCCGGCATTTTAGTCGACTCTTATGACATGCATGGCTTATGGAGGAAGAATTCTGTTCCACTTCCCCATGGAGACTACTATTAATATTAATAATAATTATTCTTATAACAATAATAATATAATAACAATAATAATAACAGTTATAGGTAGTAGGTTGGTAGACAGCAACCGCCCAGGGAGGTACTACCATCCTGCCAAGTGAGTGTAAAACGAAAGCCTGAAATTGTTTTATATGATCGTAGGATTTCTGGTGTCCATTTTTCTGTCTCATAAACATGCAAGGTTTCAGGTACGAATATATGCACACCCCTCTGGGTTTTCTTCTATTTTCTTACTAGTTCTTGTTCTTGTTTATTTCCTCTTACCTCCATGGTGAAGTGAAACAGAATTCTTCCTCCGTAAGCCATGCGTGTTGTAAGAGGCGACTAAGATGCCAGGAGCAAGGGGCTAGTAACCCCTTCTCCTGCATATATTACTAAATGTAAAAGGAGAAACTTTTGTTTTTCCTTTTGGGCCACCCCGCCTAGGTGGGATACGGCCATTGTGTTGAAAGAAAGAAATAATAATAACAGTAAGGAGAAACTTCAAAAGGCTGCCAGTAGTTGGTGCCACCATCAGCAAAACACTGGTAACCACTAGTACACTTTTCACCTGTCTAGTCTTAAGTGTAGTCTTAAGTAGGCATTTCTGCCCGAAATGCCTCAGCATGATAGTGGCTTTCTTTGCTCCAGTTATGTAATGATATATGTAAACACACATTGTAACCTTTGCAAAGAAATATATATTTTATTTATGTATTTATTTATTTATTTAAGGAACCTCCCTTGAGGGGGAAGTTCACATCCTGAAATTTTTTTCGTATCCTGGAGCAAAAAATCGACTGAACGACGGTTCAAATCCTGAAAAGTTTGCATGGTAGGGCGTTCATAACCTGAGGTTCCACTGTACTTGTAGAAATAAAGATTTATTATTATTATTATTATTATTATTATTATTATTATTATTATTATTATTATTATTATTATTATTATTATTATTATTATTAAAATTAATTTCATTTCTGTCTTGTGAACTCCTTTAGAGTGCAGGCACTGGTTTTTCCATGTCCAGGACTCAAGTCCAGCTAACCAGTTTTTCCTGAATCTCTTTATAAATGTTATCTTACTCACACTCCAACAGTATTTGAAGCAATAAGGCCACCCTGTCTCCACTCACTCCAATCTGATATCCTCACTGTTGAATGTTCAAGCCTCTAGCACTGCAAAACTTCATTATCTCCTCCCTCCAACCCTTCCTGGGATGACCACTAAAGCTTCCACCCTATCCATATTTTATATTCCTTATTGTTCTTCAGTTGTGAAAAGAAACGTAAATTAAGTACCATGATTATCCAGTTACAAATTTTGTACTGCAATTAAGTAGCAGGAAAGTACAGAAATTACAGTTGACAAGCGTTATGTGTCTCCAGGACGACAGTCTGGTCATTTATGAAGACAATGAGAAAGCTGTACTTCGCTGGGCAGCAAAGGGAAAGTGGTGGAAACTCAAGGAGAGGATTCCTAACATCCGTGATGGCCACTATCAAGACCATCGCGGCTACACGGCTCTACATGTTGCAGCCCAGCTAGGTGATGAGAGTACTGTGAAGGTCCTCTTGGATGACTGTTGCTCAGTGTACCCAGGAGCTCTCACTTACGATGGTCTTACTCCTGCAGAACTGGCACAGTTAGGAGGTTTTCCACATGTGGCAAACATTATCCAAAATGCTCTAAAGCATCCAATGGTAAAGCACTCTCTCATTTTGCAAAGTCTTAGCATTATTCTAAAGGAATTACTCTCTTTATATCTACTAATTATGATATTTATATAATTAATTAACAGTTAAAAATATCCAAACTTTTAAACACCCACTGTTTTCTACTAGAGTAGGATGACCCCAAAAAAAGGAAACTCATTCATCATTATTCATTCAGTAACTGTCCCCTTCCAAGTGCAGAAGCTGTACTACCCACTAGCTGGTTTCCTTCAAATTTTTTTTTTTTTTCAACAAGTCTTAATTGAAACATTGTGTATATTACCTCTTGTGCTTTGGAGACTTTACAAGTATTTGTCTTCCATTTGCTCTATATTCTAACTGACCAGTATATGCACTGTATGTGTTATTTTTTTTTCAGATTAGATTTTATTTTGGCAAATTACATGGTTGTACAGAGGAATCTAATAGTTGGGTATACATACCAAAATCCCCTCTGTATGCTGAGCGTTTTGGGCAAACTTAAAGATTAACTTAAGAATAGTATGGCAATAATACATAATTCATATGGTCATTAGATGAGTTAGTGAGTACAGGAGAATTTAATATTATATAAGGTGATGCTACTTGGTTTTGGTAAGTCTAGTAGAGACTTTTTACACTATTGAATTAGTTAATAAAGATTACAATATTACAATGTAAAAATTTAAAACAATTTATAATGTGATGTATTACAGTTTAGTACTATTTAAAACAATGAAATTTGGTATTACAATGGAACAATTTACATTATGATGTACTGTATTACAATCTAATACTATTTAAAACAGTGAAAAGAACAGACATCCTAATGTTGAAGTAGTAAGAGGTTGAGCATTCACCAGAACAATATGAGGAGCCACTGAGAAACTGGTAGTGGTTAGGTATGGTTTGTCTGGTTAATTTTGGGTGATGAGGTGATTTCTTATTTGGGCCTTAAACTGATTTGCAGACAGGGGTCCTTTAGTGTGTTCTGGCAATGAATTCCAGATCTTCGGGCCTTTTACGTGCAGAGCATTTTTGCATAGGGAGAGATAAACACGGGGAATATCGAAGAGTGATCTGTGTCTCGTATTATGGTTGTGTGTTGTTATAGATATCAAGTTTGAGAGGAGGGTTTACATTAGAGTATCATGTTCTGTGTATGTAGTAGGCATAATAATAAGTGTGGATGTTTTGTATATTTAGCAAGTTAAGACTCTTGCAAAGTGGTGGAGTGTGTTGTCTAATGCAGGAGTTAATAATCAATTGAACTGCAGCTTTTTGCTGGGCTATTAAAGGCTTAAGGTGATTTGCTGTGGTTGAGCCGCATGCACAAATACCATAGGTGAGGTAAGGGTAAATGAGAGAGTGGTACAAAGCTGGAAGAGCTGATTGGGGTACATAGTACCATATCTTTGAAAGGAGACTTTCTTGGAAATTTGCTGTATGTGTGTCTGAAATTTGAGACTGCAGTCAAAGTGGAGACCTAGAAATTTGCCCTCTGCCTGTCTCGAGATAGGTGAGCCTTTATCAAAATGTTTAGCCGTACGTTTGAAGCTCTGTTTCCGAAAAGCATGAAGTAGGTTTTGTCAGTACTGAGAGTAAACTTGTTGGTAATCATTCAAGTAGATATTTTTAGCAGTTCAGCATTTACTGTGTCTGTTATTATGGCTGGGTTTGGGTGAGAAAAGACATAAGTTGTGTTAAATGCAAATAAAATGGGTTTAAGTAGATTAGATGCATTTGGTAGGTCACTGATGTAAATGAGAAAGAGAAGTAGGCCAGGAATGCTCCCCTGTGGGACTCCAACAAGAAGAGGTTGTGTAGTGGAACAGGTTCTGTTTGTGTATACATACTCATTTGTGCTTAATTGTTATTTGTTTACTATAATTTTTACCACTGAATATATCATTGCTTAGTTAATTTTAAGTTAATTTAAAGCCTACCCATAATGCTCTGCATACAAGGGGCTTTTGGCATGTTACACTTAACCACTGTATTTCTTTGTACATCTACGTATCATGTCCAAATTAAAAATAAATAAAAATAAATACTGGGTTCTATTGTTAAGATAAGATTTTAGGTAATCAAGAGAAGGTCCTCTGACCCCGTAATGTTCAAGTTTTTGGTGCAAAAGGTAATGGTCACCTGTATCAAAAGCTCTTTGTAAGTCTATGAACAGTCCCAGGGGAAATTCATTTTTCTCGAGTGCAGAGTATATTAGTTCAAGCATATGTATAATAGCATCATTAGTACTTTTTTTCGGTCTGAACCCAAACTGGCAAGGGTTGAGTATATTGTGGGATACGAAGTAGGAGTAGACTTGTTTGTGTATTAATTTTTCGAAGATTTTAGATATTAGGGGCAGGTTTGATTTTTTTTTTTCAACAAGTTGGCCGTTTCCTACTGAGGCAGGGTGACCCAAAAAAGAAAGAAAATCCCCAAAAAGAAAATACTTTCATCATCATTCAACACTTTCACCTCATACATATTCACTGTTTTTGCAGAGGTGCTCAGAATACAACAGTTTAGAAGCATATACGTATAAAGATACACAACATATCCCTCCAAACTGCCAATATCCCAAACCCCTCCTTTAAAGTGCAGGCATTGTACTTCCCATTTCCAGGACTCAAGTCCGACTACAGTGGACCCCCGCATAGCGAACTTAATCCGTGCAAGAGGGCTGGTCGTTATGCGAAATGTTCGCTATGCGAATTAATTTTCCCCATAAGAAATAATGGAAATAAAATTAATCCGTGCAAGACACCCAAAAGTATGAAAAAAAATTTTTTTTACCACAAAAAAATGTTAATTTTAGTACACACAAACTGAAAAAAGGCATGCACAATTACATGACACTTACTTTTATTGAAGATCTGGTGATGATTGATGGGATGGGAGGAGGGGAGAGAGAGTGTTAGTGTTTAGAAGGGGAATCCCCTTCCATTAGGACTTGAGGTAGCAAGTCCTTTTCCGGGGTTACTTCCCTTCTTCTTTTAATGCCACTAGGACCAGCTTCAGAGTCACTGGACCTCTGTCGCACAACAAATCTGTCCATAGAGCTCTGTACCTCCCGTTCCTTTACGATTTGTCTAAAATGGGCCATAACATTGTCATTGAAATAGTCACCAGCACGGCTTGCAACAGCTGTGTCAGGGTGATTTTCATCCATAAAGGTTTGCAGTTCAACCCACTGTGCACACATTTCCTTAATTTTTGAAGTAGGCACAATGGATTCCACAACTGGCATAGGCTTCTCAGGGTTAGCCCCAAACCCTTCAAAATCTTTCTTAATTTCCATACTAATTCTCACCCTTTTTACCACAGGGTTGGCACTAGAAGCTTTCTTGGGGCCCATGGTCACTTATTTTCCAGAAACAGCACCGAAAACACTGTAATAATACGAAATATTCCGAGTGTATGCTTGAATGTTACCGCGGAGGCTGGCTGGTAAACAGTGGACGCGTCTCGGACGAAGGTCGCTGAGCGGGTTTTTGTCCACTATGCGGGGCAAAATTTTGGCGAACAAAGCGTTCGCTATGCGGATTGTTCGCTATGCAAGGCGTTCGCTATGCGGGGGTCCACTGTATATGAAAATAACCGGTTTCCCTGAATCCCTTCACTAAATATTACCCTGCTCACACTCCAACAGATCGTCAGGTCCCAAGTATCATTCGTCTCCATTCACTCCTATCTAACACGCTCATGCACGCTTGCTGGAAGTCCAAGCCCCTCACCCACAAAACCTCCTTTACCCCCTCTTTCCAACCCTTTCGAGGACGACCCCTACCCCTCTTTCCTTCCCCTATAGATTTATATGCTTTCCATGTCATTCTACTTTGATCCATTCTCTCTAAATGACCAAACCACCTCAACAACCCCTCTTCTGCCCTCTGACTAATGCTTTTATTAACTCCACACCTTCTCCTAATTTCCACACTCCGAATTTTCTGCATAATATTTACACCACACATTGCCCTTAGACAGGACATCTCCACTGCCTCCAACCGTTCTCCTCGCTGCTGCATTTACCACCCAAGCTTCACATCCATATAAGAGTGTTGGTACTACTATACTTTCATACATTCCCTTCTTTGCCTCCATAGATAACGTTTTTTGACTCCACATATACCTCAATGCACCACTCACCTTTTTTCCCTCATCAATTCTATGATTAACCTCATCCTTCATAAATCCATCCGCCGACACGTCAACTCCCAAGTATCTGAAAACATTCACTTCTTCCATACTCCTCCTCCCCAATTTGATATCCTGCTCACACTCCAACAGCTCGTCAGGTCCCAAATACCATTCGTCTCCATTCACTCCTATCTAACACACTCATGCACGCTTGCTGGAAGTCCACATAACCTGCTTTACCCCCTCCCTCCAACCTTTTCAAAGACGACCCCTACCTCGCCTTCCTTCCCCTACAGATTTATATGCTCTCCATGTCATTCTTTGATCCATTCTCTCTAAATGACCAAACCACCTCAACAACCCCTTTTCAGCCCTCTGACTAGTACTTTTATTAACTCCGCACCTTCTCCTAATTTCCACACTCAGAATTTTCTGCATAATATTCACACCACTCATTGCTCTTAGACAGGACATCTCCACTGCCTCCAACCGCCTCCTCACTGCGGCATTTGCAACCCAAGCTTCACAATCATACTATACTTTCATACATTCCCTTCTTTGCCTCCATAGATAACATTTTTTGTCTCCACATATACCTCAACGCACCACTCGCCTTTTTTCCTTCATCAATTCTATGATTAACCTCATCCTTCATAAATCCATCCGCTGACACGTCAACTCCCAAATATCTGAAAACATTCACTTCTTCCATACTCCTCTTCCCCAATTTGATATCCAATTCTTTATGTAAATCATTTGATACCCTCATCACCTTACTCTTTTCTATGTTTCTAGGTTTGATATAGGCCTATAATTGTTCAGTTCAGTTGGATCACTTCCTTTGAGGATCAGGATGACTCTTGCTG